GGCTGTTAGTTTTTCAGCTGTTACATAAAATAATGGGCCTAGGAAAGACACGTAGCATTGATAATATGTACAAAAATTATAATGACCCCTTGGGATTGAAAGAGGAATAGACTAACCCTTCTTGTGTTTGCATGGATTATTACTGGTGTTCATGTCTTCTAGCCACTGTTTGTTGAAGGGTTTTCCAAATGCATATTGATAGTGTTTTGACAGTAACTAAGAAGCAGTGTTTAAACTAAAACTTGAATGGGACCTCATTTCCCCCACCCCATGGTATAGAAGCAGATTATGGGAAATCACATTGTTGCCTTTAGGACTGTTAGTTCTCTGTGAGATCAGCAAGCGTTGGCACTTCTGGCTTTCTGTTTGTGTGTAAAATAAAACCATCAATGTACGAAGTGTGTACCCAAGATAACAAAACAAAGGATCTCTAGAAAAATAAAATCAAGTCAGATTTGTGAATAACAGCTCGGTTTTTAAAAACTTTTGAAAATATTTGAGTCATCCTTGGTTTTGCCTGTCAAATTACTGGCACATGGAGATGTTAACGATTGTATTATTCATTTGCTCTATTTTCTCCAGCCGTTTAATGTATTTTGTCACTTCTTTGGCTTTTTTTACACTTTATCTCTTTTGTTGTTTCCTTCCAACTTTACGGCCAACAAAAATGCTTGATTATTACTGTGGAGATGTAGCACAGATGGTTCAAATCCTGGGCTCAGCACATGGCTGGAAGGCGTGTAGAGAGGGCTGAGATGAGAAAGTCTTGCTCTCAGGCGACAGAGCATTTGCTAAACCACTCCATGGAAGCGTCTTCCTCCATCTGGCCTTCTGCAGTCCCAGCCCTTTTCCTCAGTTCTGGGGAGAGCAGGACAGGAAACCGAGCCTCCTTGGCTGTGTTTTTCCCCACTTAGATGGGCTGCCTTTTTTTACTTATGCCAGTACAATGTGCAATGTCCTTCCCACCCTTCAACAGGGGAACTTCATCAGTTCTGATGAGAAGAACCTCTTAACCTCAGGGGAAGGGATGGGGATTGTATTTCTGTACATTTTACTATCAGATGCTTGTGAATAAAGCTTGCTGGTTTAGCCAACTGGCAGAGGAAGGTATCTGTGCATTTAGATCCCACCTTTTCTAGCACACATAAGGCAAGGTCCTTTCAAGGCTGCAAGGAGAACTTTACACTGGAAGCTTGTGTCTGATAAAAAAACATTGGTGTTTTCTGATGTGGATTTAAAATAAGCAAAACAAAACCCTTACATACCTCAGTTTAAAATCACAAGATTCATACTGTTTTTTGTACTGGGAAAGTTGTTTATTTTGTGAGGCAAGTCGCTGAAATAGAGTCCCGTTGAGGAGGGGAGGAAAGATGTTTGCTTTTTTGCTGCAGTTTTGCCTGCTGTTCTCAATTGTTCTCTGCAAAGTTGTGAAATTCAGTTAAATCATTTTAGTCATCTCTTGGCTGCAGGAAATGTGTGACTTGGAGATATAAAGAATTAGGAATTTGATGAAGAGTTAAGTATCAGCCATGTGAATGTTATGTTTTTATACAATTTCTGCTGGCTTTATTGCAGCCAGAGATGCACTCAGTTCTATAGGTCTCCCAGAGAGATCGATTAATATTTCTTTAAATATTAAAATCAGAGAACGCAAGCAAGTACTGAGGAGTTTCTGAAAGAGCAAAGAAGCTCCTTCATGTGCTCTTCAAATTTATTTCCTCTGTGACACACTGAAATCTTGTTGAAATCACTGGGCAGTTTGTCTTCCATAGGCTCATGCAGGAAATGTATTGAACTAGGTTATAAGCATATTCACAAGTTTTGCCTGAGAAAACACCAAAATTACTTTGAAAGCACCCACCCATTATTTTTCTTAGTAAGATTTTGGACAAAGTATTTTTCCAGTTCTGAACAGTCGAGTTCTTTATTTAAAAAGATTTTTTTGGAGGGTGGGTAAGTGTAGACTGCTCTGCTCACTGCATGGCTGAGCTAGCCACAGTTATAAAATGCCAATACGTGGCAACATCTTATGCCAGTAAGCTGTTTGGAAAACATTAACTGGAAATATTCTCTGTCAGGAAAAATAAACGAAGCAAAATGCAGCTGTGCATAACATTGTGATGCCTCAGAATTTAAATACAAGCTCAAAATCCTCCCTGCTCTTGTCCTTAAATTTTTCAAATGCTATGTTATTACAGATGCTGGAGTAGATGAAGCAAACAGCTATGGGTGTTGTTAATATATAAATTATATTGGCATTTATGTAACTTATCTTCTGTGTATTGGGTGCTGTCTACTGTGTGTCTGTCGAAGCCATAACAAAGTATCCTGCAATGATCTCAGTTTAAGGCTATTTGTGCTGCCCGCTGTTCGTCTCTGTCCAGGTGCAGTAGCAATGCAGCCCCTCAGTGTTCGCTTTCTTTTTAAGGCAGGGTGGTACCCTGAGCACAGTTTGGTCCCACAGATAGTTGCATTGGCAGAACTGGTGGTGTGGAACAGTTGTTAGTCAAAAAGAAGCAGCGGAGGAAGGCACTTTCAGCTTGTTTTAGGCCATTAAGCCTTTTTAGCTACCCGTTTCGTGGTATGAAACAACCACCTGAGTGAACTATCTCGTAATTATGTTAATCATTAATGATATCCACAGTTGCATTTAATCCAAAATAAAGTCCATGCCATGTATAAATCCCAGCTGAAGGGCAGACATAGATGCAGACATAGATCTTGAGCAGCTAAGAGCCTTCTGCTGGCCTCCTGTATCCAGAGGAACTGCAGCACTGGCAGCAGCCAAAAGAGTTGGTTCACATACAGCAGTATATCAGTCAACAGTGATTCAGTCAATAAATTTTCAAGAAAATACTATGGGATAGAAATACATAGTTTCAATAAATGGCATGGTGCAAATATCCACTATCCATACATTATACAGGTTTACCAGCCGGTACTTGGAGGACTGCCGCCTAAGTTAATCTGACCTGTAGACAACAGATTCTGTTCCTTTGGTGGGTCGGATAATAATACAATGGCAAAAATCTCCTTTAATGCTAAGCACGTGTTCAGAGTCATACATGTAAAAAGTATTGTATATATCTGGAAAGCATTAAGTTGGAAGCACTCTGAAAGTGTATGATTGTCAAAGAATGAGTCTGAAATGTCAACTTCCAGCAACTTTTCCCTTAAATACTGAGAACATTTCTCCTCTTTCATTCTTCTTTCCCTTTCAGTGATTTAATGCTTCCATGAATTTCAGATGAAGTCTGCTTAAGCGGTGGACAGGTGTAACTTATCAGGGGACAAATGGGGAATAGCACAATTATTAATCACAAAGCAGAAGGCCTGGGCATGGAGTCAAAGTGCATTGTCTGCCAAACAGTTTTCTACAGATTACTTGGTAACGATATTAAGATTGATCACACAGTACTGATCTTTTAGGTAGTGTGAGCTGACCTACTTTTAAAGGGGGTTAATTTGCAATTTCACTGTAGCAATTACAGATGTTGGCTTGTATAATGTAATCTACTAATAGGATTCAAAACATGCACAATCTTAACCCTATTTTGGGAAGAAAGTATTATCAATTCACTTTGTAAGTTCTCTTTTCTACAAGGAGGAATCGTTTTTGCAGAGATCAGGTTCTCAGACATTATTATTACTACACTGAAGAAATACATAGTGAGAAAGGTGTAAAGACTCGTTACGCTAAATGACATACTATAGAACAATGCATGATCCAACCTGCTTCTGAATCTAAACAGGCAAAAATGTGTGAGGAGAAATTATTATCGATCCTTCTTTACAAATGAAGCATGGTGGCACAGAGAGCTGGTCCCACAAAGTAATTTTGGGTCTGCAGCCCACCTTTTGTCTCTTGCCTGTCTTCCCAGAACACTGTGGGGACAGCTGGGCAGCAAAGCACTGTAGTTTGAAGGAAGGGAGTCCACAGGACCTGCATGCAGGTGGTAGCCGTGCGGTAGCATTGCGTTTCCCTGCTGTGCCTCACACCAGCCCACCCGCAGCTGTGCAGCATCTCGCAGTTGTGCTGCTTCGTAGTCATCGTGTGCTCAGGGCACAGCGTTTGCTGCGTTACAACTGAGCTGCCCAAAAAGGAAGGGCGGAGCGGGTCTGGTGACAGTAGCAGGGTCAGCCATGAGTCCAGGTCACCAGACGAGCCTGTTACCACAAGGCAGCTCCAAGGCCAGCGTGGTGCAAGAGCAGCCACAGCCAAGCTCAGGCAAGGACCCAGGGCAAGGGCAATACATATTGTCTTAAATGGATTATTGAAATATCTGAACAACTTTAGCATATGTTAAATCAGAAACACGATATGGGAAACTTTAGATAAAGATTTGAAAATACTTTATGAGATTAAAACCTAGATTTTTTAAGAGGGAAAGTGTTAAGGAGAAGATGTTGATGTTAATTTATAGTAGTCATAGCAACACAGTTCTTGCTTTTGTAACATTCTGGTCTTTTGGGATGTGAGGGGAGGGAACAGGTTTTGTTTTTCCACAGGGAAAGTTTGCTCAGCTAAGATTGTGCTTTGTTCTAGCTTTTCTGGTATAGCCAAGGATGCAGTTACTTTAACATAATCGCTTCATGCCATCAGGAATAGCTCAGGGAAGACAATAGAACTAAAGGAGCAGTTTGAAAATTAAGGGTTGAGCAATCAGTTCTGTGCTGTTATTTGTGGGATCAATCCTGAGGGGCCCGACTCCTCTAAAACATTCAGCACGAGATTTCATATGCCTAAATTGTTGTTGCAGGTATGTTCTGTGGGCTGTGTACCTGCAGCTTAAGCATCACAATGCTGATGATTTTAACAGTTAAAGTTCTTGTTTGGATCTATGCCAAAGTGATTTTACTCCAAAGTACTGTCTTAATTAACAGAGAAATTTTGCTCTCAACAGACAGTGATTTTTTTATTTTTTTTTTTTTTAAGAGCACACGAGGACTCTGTTCTGAGTTGGAGCTATGTTCAGTAGGTGCCTGAAGAAAGAACTGACCTAACTTTCTAGAGCGTCGGGTTGCAGCAGCCCGTCGTTTTTTAGGGGCACCATCCAATCCGCTCGCTGCTGTCTGCTGGTGCTTGGCAGGTCCGTGCGTTTGTGCTGCTGAGCCTGACAGCATTTCGCAGCAGGTCTCGCTTCGTAACACGCTCAAAGTCAAAAGCTCTGCTTGCTCCTTTTCATCACCCTTCTCTCTCACCCAGCTCTGTGCCTGAGCCCTTGTTGGAGCTGGGGTGGCTTGGGAAGAGCGAAGCCACCGTGCTTGGTAGCTGCTCTCATGCTGCAGCCTATGCTTCAGCCTGCAGACACGCTGGAGGAGGCTCGGACCGGGACTCCAGCCTGGTCTGGATGCAGAGGTCGCAGGTGTTCCTTCTGCATGTTTCTTCCTTTTGGAAATAGCTTCAAGCAGTGAATTGAAGGAACTCAAGGAATTAATTGAAATTAATTTTCCTGGAATTAATGAAACATAAAAATATACACCCTCTGTTTCAATTAGAGGTGTATTCTGTACAGTAAGCTCTGTTTTTCTTTTTTTCTGTAACTTTTAATTATAAATAGAAGACATAAAGATCACTGCAGCAGGACAGAAATAACTAAGCTGTCCCCAGTTAGAGAAGCTAGTCTGATTTTGGTCACCATAGAAATGAAAAGCTCTAAAAACTACATCTGGGAGCAAACTATTCCAGGAAGGCAAACTATTCATTGTGGATGTATTTCAACATATAAACCAGACATATAGAAGACAGACAACCAAGTTACAGACTTTTTTTTTTTATACTGCTTTGGAATAAATGCTGCACTTCAGCTTCTAGCAATACAAAAGCGGGGGAAACCCATTTCCCATGTGTCCTGTTAGTCCTGTGGTCAGGGGGGCTGTGTAGAAGTACAGCTCTGCTCGCGAATTACTCCTTCAAGAACTTTTCCCTTCTTGCAGTGTTGCAGGCAGCATGCTCTGTAAGCCAGTGCATGCTATAAATTTTCGGCTAATGGTCTGAGTATAAACTGAAAAGAGAAACCTCAGCGAGTGATCTAATGTTTTAAAGCAATATTGAGTTGGCGGGCAGTTATGTTTAACGTTTTAAATTCTAAAATGAGTAAATAAGGTTTTTGTAGTTCATAAAATAAAAATTTGTTAGGAGTATTCTTTGTGCATTGTATATTCTAATCGCCAGTGTAAAATTTGTACCATAGTTTTAGAGCAGTACCTACTGTAAATGAGAATGGGTTTGGTAACTGTTACTTGGAGTAATACGGGTACCTGTTGTTCTTACTGATAATTGCAATTTTGATCTTTTTTTCCCTATTTGGCAAAAATTGAAAAAATTATTTATCGTTTTTGATAAAGAATTTAAAATGTTCTGCTTTGTTAGGTGACTCACACTACCAATGTTTTCCAAATTACATCAAAGTAGACAAGGCCACTGTTTTCTTGACTTGTCAAACTGTTTTAATTTTAGAAACTTTAATGTGAAAAAGGAGAAAAAGCTGTTTGGAAATAGTTAGCTCATGAAATTAAACAATAGATTTAGAATATTTAATTTCAGCTGCAGTGAAAATGTTCCTTAATTGGCACTTGCATATGAAGTTTTTAAAGTTCAGTTTAACCTCCAAGAGATTAATGTTTCAGATTTATTTTCCCTTTTCTGATTCTGAGCAAAAAAACTTTATGTATTATATCCAATTGGTGGCATAAGCCAATGTTTTTGTTTGTTGTTTCGAAGGAAGACATAAAGCATTTTGAACTTGAACCTTCTTGTTCTTCAAACCTAAAATCTTAGATGTATTTGTCATTCGATCTCTTTCAGATGACACAGCAAATGGCTTTACGTGATCTGATTTTGAACAAAAAAGGGCAAACTGACAGCGGTCCCTGCATTGGTACGTTTGCCCTGCTGTTCTGGCTTTGACGCTGCACTGGAGCTGATGCCGCAGCCAGGGCACGGGGTGCCCATTCTGGTCCCCATTCCTTGCCAGTTCAGTCAATGTTTCTCCGGGTTCCCCGCGGGGAGAGCAGCGTGGTGCTGTAGAGGGCTGGGGGTTGTGTACCAAACAATACAAACACGTCATTAAGCAAGCTGTTCAGCTGCGGTGTATACAGCAGAGAGGGGTCAAGGGTTCCCAGAGCAAAGCAGTTTCTCAGCATCCTGGCAAGTGTGCACCGTGTCCATCGCTCTCCTCACCACCAGGTTTTATTGTCTGTGTGGCAGTGGTATTCAGGGCTCACGGAAAGAGCTTTGCTGCAGGAGCACCTGTCCTAAGCTTGAAATCCCTGCTGCGGCATGGCACTGCATTTGGTCTAGCATGGTTTGTTATCGGCTGGAACATGTTTGATGGAAGGCGTAGCATGGTGCCTGCCGCAGGTCCTGCTTACAGGAGGACAGGGAAGCGATGCTGCCTGGCAGCATGAAGCTGGACGTGGCTTTGGACATGACTTAAAACTTGTACGGAATGACTATTACCGATTTTTCCTTTTTTGCATTATTTATGTTAAAGAGTACTTTGCCATTTGTTAATAGCGTGTGGATCATTGCACATGACACAGTAATTCTTCTTGGATGGCTTTTCACAAAGGCAATGCTTTCTAAATGCTTTTCAAGAAGATAAAAGCTTTCCAGTCCTGTAAGTTACGCTTTATGCGAGTCCAGAAGAGATTTTACACAGGTAGGAGTACTGTGTGGTGTAGCTGCCAATTGTGCTCAAATGAACCAAGTGAAGGCTGGGGCTTCTTTTCTGTGCACAGGCTGCAATAAGTCATTCAGATTTCTTAACAGTTCTAAATCATTTTCACATGGAAAGTGCTTATCTTTACATAATAGCAGTGAATAAAATAATCCCACCACAACTATAACAGGTGCTTTGCTGTCTTGAGTACAGAAAACTCTATGCAAGAAGAAACTAGGCACCAAAATGACTTGTGAGTAACCCCAGCCTCAAAACCCCATGTGTGATTCTGACCCTGGCTTCAGCCAATGCGTTTTCCTCTGTGGCAGCGCTGCAAGTGGCTCGGGAAGCTCAGCGACAGCCCCAGCATGAGCGTTCGGATGACTTTAAACCCCACCTCCTCTGCCCTCCCTTGCCAGGAGCATTTGAAGCCCTAGGCCTTCTGCCTCCTAATTAAGTGGTTGCTTTCCTGGGCTGTAGGATTTCTAAAACATAGCTGCTCCTGAAGATTCGTAAAAATGCTTTTTCTCTAGAGGGGAAGGTATGGATGTCTCGCTGGAAGATCAGTCCACAGGGGTCTGTGCTCATGGGCAGAAAAGACATTGCTAGCTCATTTCACTACCTTCCCCTCAGCCATTTCCCATCTAATTTGTGTCCGGTAGCATTTCTACTGCTAATTAGAGATGGTTGGGACAAGACTCATGTCTCCCTGCAAGGTGCCTGGCACGTCTGCAAGCAGCTAAGCTGTGGTAAGGCTCTCAGTGTCAGCCGTTGTGAGCTGGCAGATACAAAGAGAAAAATGTTGACTTACAGCCTGTGCAGATCCTTGCAGTCAGTGGTGCTGTGCACACAGACTCTACTGCCTAGTTGGGGTTTTACCATGTTTTTTAAGCACGCACCTGTCTGTGTTGGCTTCCAGTGCCATCTAGTGGGCTGTGATTTTATTTCGCTGGTAGGTAGGGTTTCAGTAAAGACATTTCAGGCCTGTGTATGTGCATAAATTGATAACAGTATTCCATTCTGGACAGCACTGTGTCCTTCTGGAATGACCCGCGTACAGATATTTATGCTCATTCACGGTATTTAAGGTAGATATAAACTAGAAGTTGAAACATGTCATAGAAAAGTAAGCAAAACTATGTTTGCAAGTAGATGATACGACATTCATCCCTTCCTTGAAGGGAGACTTCTGAGATAGAGCATAAGTGTTCTGACCTTTCTAAATGGTCTAGCTGTTTCTTTGCACTTAGAAGTACTGTTCCTGTACTCATACGTCTTGTTGTCCATGTGCGTTTTTATGTAATTGGTATAAAAAATATATTCTTCCATTTGTAACATTTTATGCTTGTTGAACTCATGACATAGACCGCTTTCACATGTTTAAATTATAACCTAGACCCGTTCTTTTCTTTTCTAGACATTAGTTTGATTCCCTCACTCCTCAAGTGGGCTAAAGGCTTCTGTAAGTAAAAAAATTCTTTTTTGCTGTTTTTAACTTCTGACTTACATTGATAAAGTATTGTGAGCAAATAATATCTAATAACTCAAGGTTCGTGGGTAAAATGTGGGATCTGTTATCTACATTTTTTTCAGCTGTTGGCCAAACTCCTTTGACTCAGTGCTTATATTGACTCAACAGAAGCATAAATCCTAACCCTAACCTCATTAGTCCTTTCTAGGGCACTTAAGGAGGACTTTGTAGATGTGCCACTAGCTGCTCTTATACATTGTCCTCACTGTACCTCCCCAGGAGCTAGATGAGGCTTTTGGGACCCCTTATTCTGCTGGGCTGAGCCCTAAGCTGTTCAGATGCAGGGATGAGCCACAGGCTCTCCCCAGGTGGTGCTCGCTGCCTCCCCAAAGCTGGATGGTCCTGAAAGAAAGTCAGCTCTGGGACTTTTATATTCTGCTAACCCTAACCCTGGTGCTAGTCAGGTCCAGTCTAGTTATACAGGCAATATTGGCAGAGGAACTGTTGTTGAGGTCAAGGGAGGTGATTCTACCCCTCTATTCTGCTCCACTCTGGCGAGACCTCACCTGGAGTCCTGCATCCAGTTCTGGAATCTCTAGCACAGGAAAGACATGGACCTGTTGGAGTGGGGCCAGAGGAAGCCACAAAAATGATTAGAGGGATGGAAAACCTGCTATGAGGAAAGGCTGAGAGAGTTGGGGCTGTTCAGCCTGCAGAAGAGAAGGCTCTGGGGAGACCTTGTAGCAGCCTTCCAGTACATGAAAGGGGCCTACAAGCAAGCTGGAGAGGGATTTTTTCCAAGGGGCTGTAGCGACAGGCCAA